ATATTTGACAAAATTAGTTTCGTTTAAATGAGGCAGGTCATGTAGGAAGAAAGAAAAAAGAAAAGGAGAGAGGATGTCACTTTGAGGAACACCGGCTTTTGTAAGCGAGGCAGAAGAAGATTTGCCATCATATACGGTATACTGTATTCTATCAGAAAAATAAGAATGCAACCAGCTCTTAGCCCAGGATCCTGTGTGCGTCAACGAAAGCTTATTTAATAAAATGCCCCTAGGTACAGAGTCAAACGCAGATGTGTAGTCTAGGAAAGCACCGCGAACATATTTGGCACCTTTGTCTAAGCAAGAAACAACATTATGATATAAGACAACCGCAGCATCCAAGGTACTTCTACCATGTTTACATGCAAATTGCTTAGGATCATTAAAAGCTTTCAATGAAGGTTCAAGACGAAGTAAAAGTAGTTTTTCCATAAATTTTAAAAAGGGAGAAGTAATTGCAATAGGCCTAAATTTAATATCGGTACCAGAAGATTGTTTTGGTATAGGGATAATTTTAATGTTTTTCCATGCAGAAGGTAGAACATTACTGGAAAAGGAAGCATTAAAAATGTTAGTAAGAGGGTGACATAAAATATTAGCACAGTTCCTGAGGAGTCAGTAGTTACGGATTGTGAAAGACTACAGTGACTGATAAGGGCAATCGATAGTTACGCATTAAATTATGTATTACTGAGTATTGGAAATAAGTAGCTAGCCAGATCGATGTGATTTGAACACACCCGATGACCATTCCGTCTGTCTGCGTCTGAAGTGATCAGTGTCACGCTTGGTCTGACTCAGATCTGAGGGCGGAATCAGTTCAAACCGCCTGAATTTCTGGATAGCGGTTTGGGCGAACTGGCGACGCTATAAGTCAAATTTGCTATTTGTAATTACTACTGGTTGATGTGATTAGTATTCAACTACTCATTTCATATATTCAGTAGTATATATAGCGTCATGCATTCACGCTTGATTGCTTGGTAACTGTTTATGGTATCAAGCAGATCTGTCGACTTTTGACTGCACCAAAGAGCATGTCGTTCGATGGACTGGAACCAGATTAGCTGCAGGATAGGCTGTGGCTAGTGACATACTCTGTGATCTGTTGGCCATTGCTGCAATGTTTTCAATGAGTAAGTCACTAGCCAGAGCCTATCCTGTAGCTAATTTTGGTCCCGTTCATCGAACAACACACTCTTTGGCGCAGTCAAAAGTCGACAGATACCCTTCTCATGTTAACTCCAACTGTATACAAACTTGCGTGTATCTGAGGGAGCAGTTACATTGGGAAAAGAGAAGGAAGGGCACACTTGTTCGATTTTCTGAACAGGTGCCGAAAAGCCTACATCTCAAGAGAATAAACTCTTATAATAGGTCTATCACCAGATATCTCCCCAATACGGGTCATGAGGTGGAAATCGTTAGCTCGTTTCTCTTCAAGTTTGCCGAAGCATTTTCCATCATACGCTTGAAACCAGATTTATGTGTTCAGAAAGAAGCAGTTTTTGGTCTTTCCTTTCCCATTCTGGTAACTGGATGTCTTTATTCTTTTTTTCATTTAATCACGTAATCTGTGACTTTAACCTCATCCTTCTTTTATAATTTGTAATTTTGCTAGTCTCTTTTTTCTATGATTTAAGTGGAACTCAGTATACTGTTACCTAATTTATTAGTCACTCAGTATCTTATGTATCTCTCGTCTTTATTACGTAACTCCTTTACCATTGTATGCATACATTTACTTTGTTTAAACTTGAACTGCCTGTGTAAAAGCTATAGAAGCACAGTTTTATGAGCACTGTCCACTAATTGGGGAACCTTCAGTCAGCTGACACCATAAGAAAAAAATTTGCAAGTATTTTAAAACTTTTCTGTACACAAACCTCATAATTTATTTATGCTGCAGACAGTTGATGAGAAGCCAACGAAATCAGGAGTGATGTACCGTATTATTCTGCACAAACCACTGTTGTTCTTACTTTATTCAATTTTGATTTATAGCTGACAGTTATGTTACCTCAGCCGACAATCAAGTCGATATGACAACTAACTACAACGAAAGCTGAGTAGTTGAACTCTTTCACAGCTGAATTAAATGCTTTCCAAATCAAAATGATAACAATATTTAATTATGCATTGAGAATATCGTAAACATAAGCTTTGCTTATTGGAGATAACCAGAAACCTGGATATGATTAAGTGCCATATTTAATTTTGATAATGCTTGGATCAGCCAGTACTCCATAGTACAGCTAGTTAAATAAATGATTTGTTGATCTTTAGGTGAATTACCTGAAGATCTAGTAGAAAGTTATAACTGGCTAGACATCAGAACAGTAAGTGTCTGTCGACGGTGAGTATCGGTTGAAATAGCTGAAAACCATCGACTCACCTTGTGATCGGTCAGTCTCCACTTCTATCTCCTTCAACCAACACAGACGGAAGTTATTTATTAGCTGATGAATCACGGTAGAATCCAAAACGTGTGTTTCACTTGCTTCCCAAGCGTGATAGTGTCCCCACTGAGACTCTAACTAATACCTGTCGTTCCAGTCACCTGATCAATCATTATCCAATGGGCTACTGGGTTGTGAGACTCACCACTTGTGCAGTGATGATTAATTGTTCTTTTCCGTGTTTTTTCAAAATTGTATTCAACACAGATATGATGTGTCTCATTGGCCTGTTATATAACACACTTTGACCCTTGAAACGGTTGCTCCTGGGTTCAAATGTCCGTGGGAGAAGAATCATTTACTAGGGACACATATCCAGGTGATGAGTTCAAGGTAGGGCGAAACAACAATATCACCGTTAAGTGTTAACAAACAAATAACTACTAGTTGTCGCTCTGTTAACGTTAGGACATTCTCTTCAGGAGGCCATAAAGCAAAACTAAAGCTTATGAATTAGGTGCATATAGTTCAGCTGAAAGTCTTCAAAACGAGTACATACATAAATATATACAGCTATAAAGGTCTAAAATGCGACGGCAGGTTGCCTTCTATAAATTCTGAACATCAGTTAAACAGACAAGAAATGATCAGCATCAAGGAAGCCCGCCTGCAAATTAGCCAAGAACCTAAAGACTAATAAGTAAGCAGAAGACAATGGAAATGGGTTAGAAGCATGCTGAGGAGATCGCTGAGTGGAATCCTGAGACACTCTTTCGAATAGTGAAACCCTATTGAGAATTGACGAGTTATGTATCTGAGGGCAATGGAGAAGATCATTTGAACAGTGTTAAAACTTGTGAGCAATAGTACTGATATTTAAGAAGGACTGCAGGAGACAGAGTGAAACCGCAATGTGCTTTCCAAGCCCTTTATGTTACATTCGGAACCTAGAGGAAGAAGAAGACCGCTTACGTATTACGTCACAGAAAGTTAGCAGATTTATTCCTAACACTTCTCACATCACTCCATCATGGATAAGATTTGATTTTGATAAATCACACAGTGTTTGCTGTACAGTAATATTAACTGATGACCATGTTTCGAGCACAAACTATTGCCACTCATAATCATATGAAGTTACTCACACAACTTTATTGCTTCATTTATATGCATGAGTAAAAATTGATGATTAGACATTTGAATAAAAATCAATATGGGATAATGTACATTCAGAAATAATAATATGAGTGTTTTCAATCAAATACAATCAATCAGAGACAAGCTCTGTAGGTTACAGGACCCTGTAGGTTGACCCAATTAGAAAAATAATATAATTTACAAAATACCCTGAAATGACTATGAGTTAAGTCAACTGCATAGGTCGAACTAGTAGGTTGCGGGTAGTTAGATTGTCGAAATGTAAGAAGTGAGTGGCTGGGTTATAAGGATTGATCCCGCGAAGACGGATGAGTAATTTAGAAAAAGAACTCAGGAATAGCACTGCATACATTAACACAGAACCACACAATACGATGGAAGAGGGTTAGAATTCTAGGAAGTGATCTGTTTAGGTGAAGACAGAGATTGATTACTGAATCTTGGTTCATTGAGACTACACCCAACATATGCGATAGGAATGACTCAATGCAAATGTCAGGGATATGGGAGCTATTATTACCAGCATTTAGTCAAATCAGAGGAGGATAAAAATAATCTCAAAATCCTATTTCAATTCAAGCACATCACAACATTCTAACAAGTTACTTATTTTGACTATAAGGACACTCGTCTTATTTCCCATCTGATTGTATTTGATTGATAACACTCATATTATTATTTCCGGATACACATTATCCCATATTGATTTTATTCAAATGTCTAATCATCACTTTTCACTCATGTATATAAATGAAGGAAAAAGTTGTGTGAGTAACTTGATATGATTATGAATGGCAATAGTTTGTGCTCGAAACGTAGTCATCAATAAATATTGCTGTATAATAACACTGTGATTTATCAAAATAAAATCTTCTGTAAAATGGAGTTATACTCTACCACAGTGCCCAAGTTTTATAATGCTCATATCACATGGAATGCGCGCCAAATGAAGCATAGTAAAATTTTTATACTTAGTCTTTCGAACCTATAGTCTTACATAATTCTATCTCGTTCTACCTGATGAGATGAAAGAAGAGAGTTCTGTATAAAGAGAGTGTTCATTGTCGGATAGGATGATATTCGCCAGTTTCCTAAGTAACTTCAGGCGTCTCCCCTAAAGAATATTAACAGCATCCTAGTCGCACTACTGACAGCTCTGGGTGTTATATCCAGTGTGACAAAAGTCGTTCTTAAGTAACCCAGGAAAGATTAAGACGGGCAACAAATAAGAATAGGTTGAGTATCAGAACTAACGAACTGTCAAACTAGAGATTGAATGACAACACACTGCCTTTACTTTCTTACTTAGATGGTTTGATGAAATACCTTTGTAGAAATAAGCATGTGTTGTGAAAAGACCAGGAGAGATCCTAGAAAAGACACAATCAAACATATCTAACAACATCTGACATAATTTTAACGACAAAACTCAAAATGACTCACCGATTTTGTGAACAGTAATATCCAACTAACAGATCTGAAGTGGGAAGTGTTCACCAAATAATAATAATAATTATGAAAAAAGTGTTTCTGATTTTCTTGTCTTATTTTCGTTTGTTGAATTTTCAAAGACAAATAATTACTCAACTTTCTGTTATTGTAGGATAAAATATGAACCGGATAAATAATAATTGCGTTCAGTTTTACTCAAGAATATTGACCAATCAGAATTAGGTATGAATGCATATCCCTCAATTCTGATTGGTCAGTTATGAAATCAAAGTTTTTCTCTGAGTTAATGTTATTCACTACTGAATTCGGCTTTTTAGTATTTTAAAAAGATTGTTTTTAGCGATTTGATTTTTTTCAATTATGACCATAGATTGGGATCAGGTAGAGAACCACTGAAAGACAAAGAGCACAATGGGCCACTTTTAAGTCCAAGTTCGAGAACCTCCAGCAGTATGTACCCTCTGGGGTTCGGACTCGGAACCTGCCGGTTACAAGACAAGCGCTTAGACCATTCAGCCCCTGGGATTTGATTTAATGTCCCATGGATTTAAACCTCTACCAACTCATGATTTTAGCGTGAACACTAGCCTATTTCATTGGTCAGTATTTGTTCCCATGCCCAAGCTGCTCAACCCCACTAATCATAACTTTTCAGTAGAACTCCAGGAAACTTAGTCAGTAAGAGAACAATTGATAGTAGACGAAATACGTAGATTGCGAAATTATCGTAGTTGATAATTGCAAAGAAATCTGTTCTGGGCACGAGTATATGAAAGATTATTTGTCAGCTCTGTCTATCATTCCAAAATTATTTTAATTTTTTGAAAAGTCGACCTTTTTAAAATGCCTTGTAGAATTCTTCCTCTCACTGAGAAAGTTGAGCAAAGTAAGAATTATTATTATTATCAATACTGTTTCCTTTAATTCCTAGAAGAACACATGGCTTCAGTGGCACGTCTCAATTGCGTTCGGTTCCCTGCTAGAGTTTTCACCTGGCTTCACGTCTGCCCACATCCTTTCATCTCTTCTTCACACGATCTCCTCCATGTCACCCTCACACCGCTTCCCATTTGGGTTCCACTCGAGCGGTGACCTGGCGTGTGATATCACTTGATAATTTGTTTTCCCAGAGTATGTACAGCCAATCCACCTGTATTTCTTCCTGCGGATTTGTTGCACAACTGGCTCCTGCTGGATTGGTTCACTCATTGCCAGATATCCCTGTTGCTGATCTTTTCTGGTCGGCCATCTGATCTCGAATAGTACTGAGCGAAGACAGCTACCTGATCATGGAGGTGTGTAGTATGTTCGAAGGGCCCTTCGTGATACGGCGCCAAGTCATTGATCCGTATAGTAGCACTGAATGACTTCACATTGGAGTTGAAAATCCAGATCTTATTTTCATTTGCATGCTGAGTGCTGTTGATCTCCATACAGACTTTGAAGTATTGAAAACTTGCCTTGCTTTCCCAATCCCCACTTTGATAACCTCATAAGTTCTGTCCGTCTGTAGTTGAAACGATGATTCTCAGGTATGTAGGTAAAGGTGGTTGCTTCTTTCAGATAATAATAATGATAAATGTTTTAAGGTTATATAACCGGATATTTATTATTTTTGGATTATTTTTAAATGCTTACTACCTAAACGGCATTGAAATGCATAATTTTTAAGCCACCATCACTGTGCATTGCGATCTCTCCATGTTAGGTAGTTGGAGGCAGTTGGCAGGAAGCCGTGTTTGTTGGCTCTTGCCAGCAATATGGCCACTTTGTAGACGTAACCGGTAGAATTCAGTCTGCAGTAATGGCAAAGACTAGAAGCATGAAACTAGCGTCCAGTCCCACTGAAGGTGGATCGCTAAGCCAAATAGCTCCGTAGTAAAGTTTGTGATTGCAGTACTGGGTGACTCAGGTTCGATTCATAGAAGTTATCTCAGTTCCTTCACGGTTACTGGCATTTCCTGCTGGTGAGTACTAAGGCTTCTTCCTGAATGCATCTAACTATCTAACATGCTTTTATCTCGTTGATAATGAGTTATTGACAAGAATTATAACTATCATAAATCCTGAATTATTTAAGTTGTTCAGGTATTAAGCGTTAAAATAACTGACTATTTATACGATAATTAGATCAATCCTCCTGGAGCAAAAATTAGGAAGGGAATGGACTTGAAATTCTAGGTAGAGACAGCGACTGATTAAAATGCATGTGTTGGCATGATAAGCCGAGTAAACTCAAAAATATTTCACAAACACCAGGAGAGTATTTTGAGTAACGTTCATATGAAAGAGATAAGATTCTCTACAGAGTACAAAAGACAATAGCAGATTACTTGATATAACGGGATATGTATAAGTTCGTTTTACAACTATAATCATCATCGTGGGGAGAGATTCTCCACTGTCGTTTTCTGAGTACATAGATTTGGTAGGTGATTCATTGAGCTAAACGTGACAGGGTGGATTTGGTTTTGCCTATTGGTCATTGCAAAAGTCTTTGAACCATTTATAATATGATCAATACTGACTGGTGGCACACGGTCGCCCTCCCCAATGCACCGGCACCTTTTATTCTCCAGTTCTTTGGTATTTGTTGAAGAATGTAGACAACAACCCTTCTGTTTATATTTCTAGCGAATACGTCTGGCACGTACATATAAACTGGTAGGTATAATTTTAGGTAACATCACATGGGACTGCTATGATTGAACATATGTTTGATAATGACCAGGTAATATGTATGGAAAATTCACTTAGACTTATCTACAAAGTCATAAGAAGCCTCTTAAAAACGGTATACCTCAGTTTACCTAACATTCCTGAGGTTTTGCAATTAATACTGTTGTCTGAAGTGGTTGGTTTAGTTGCGGAGCTTTCATCGTACCTCTGAACTACATACCCTTTCAGCACAATTTTTAGCATGAAGTCATTTGATTTAAATTTTCCACGAGTGATAGAATTGAGTATCCTGGTAACCATCTCTACATCTGTATTGATCATTTTTTATTGACTTGGATGTTTCAGACTTTCTCGTCACATGTGATTTACTTTTTATTAGTTGGTAGATTTGATCTATATTAACATGTTTGTTAATCGCTGGCTGATTCGTTTGAGTGCCAAGCTTCTAGGAATTCCCTGGCTGCACTTTCGGTGTTTCCTCTGTCTAAAATTTTGACATTAACCCAATCAAACTGATGTCCATAATTATCTATATGCATTGATATGAAACAGGAATGTATATCATGTCTTTTCACAGCTAATTTGTGTTCCTGGGTTCTGATTCGAAAGGGACGGACACTTAGTTGACCGATGTAATGTCTTTTACAGTTCATACATTCAATTTATTTTGTAAATGGTATTAATTTTATCTCCTTTTTCTGTTGGATGGTTCTTTTGGTTTGCACAATATCGAATGAAGTGATTGTGCTGACTGGCTGGCTTGTGTGCTATATCTATTTCAAACGGTTTCAATATTCTAGCTGTAATTTCACAGATATTTTTTATATATGGTAGAATGGATTTTCTTTTAGTCTTTGATGACGGTTTCTTGTTGGTGTTGTAACTCAATTTTAAGCACTTTTTGATGAAATTATGAAGAAATCCATTCTTGTACAAGACGGTTAGTAGGTATGATCTCTCCATTCTTTTCAACACTGGAGTGCTACAATGTACTACAATTCTTTTAAACAATGTCTGCACACAGTTTCTTTTGTGGGTAATCGGGTTATGACAGTTATAGTTGAGTATTTGATCTGTGTGTGTGCGTTGATTTTCTATATACTTGCGTTTCTAAATTTCCTGTGTTGGTTCTCCTAATTAAGACATTTAAAAATAGGATTTTGTTATCTAATTCTTCTTCTCTTGTGAATTTGATGTCTTCAAATATGTTGTTTATTAATTTATGGCTAAATTTCAAATCATTTCTTTGAAATATTACAAATGTATCATCAACGTAACGTAACCAGACTTTTGGTTTGCTTATAGGTAGAGCTATTAATTCTAATCTTTGCATGACGGCTTCACCTATTAATCCTGATATGGGCGATCCCTTTGATGTTCCTTTCATCTGTTCGTATATTTGAGTATTGAATTGGAAGTATGTTGTAAGACATAATTCTATGAGTTCTATCCATGTTGAACATTGCGTTTTTATGGTTTCATCACTATGGAGTATTTATGATAAATGGGTGGGAAAGTTCCAGAATAATTTCCGGTTAAGGATCAAATTAATAAAATTACAATTAGGAATTAAAATTCCATAATAAAAAGAGGGACGGATAAAGCTCAGACAAAGTAGCATCATAATTACTGACAAGATTGACATATTGTGCAATTAGGGGTTAGAAATGTAGAAATAACAACAATAGACAGGATGTTTGGATAACAACATCTAGTGGAATCATAACTAATGTGACGAATAATTGTTTATGCAATCAGGGTTTAAATATGTAGAAATAATAAAATGACAAAATAGACAGGAAGTTCGGATATGAAAATATGGTAGTGTAAAAAGGGGTTGAGGAAAATTAACATTAACATGAATAAACAGGAAGTTTGGATAAGAAAGGCAATGTGATAGTCATTACTAAAAGAATCACCTGTTTATGATGGCCATGGCAGGGACAAGGGTTGTACGTATTTCTTTTGGATAAAAAGCGTGGGTTTGAGCTTTTAGATAGCTATTGCCTCGGCTATGCCCAGATGTCTTAATTTTACTCCCTTTGATAGGTTTGATCGAATCTTGTATATTATTTTGAAGGATTTTTCGAATGCCGCTGAATGTTCTGAATTGCCCAGATGTCCTGTCACCAAACTATATCCACGTTTTCGATATCCTCTTACTAGCCAGGCTGGATACTGCTCACGAGTACGGCCGATGACCTCAGCTCCTTAAGAGCAAGTAAAATGGTATATGTATGTTGTAGCGGCCCAATGCAACAGCTTGTATTTCGCTTTCTGGCTGAACAGTTTCTTGCGGGAAAACGTCAGCCGTAGGCTCGCGGCGAAGTATGTTTCCCTTAGCGATTTGGAGAGGCGTTAACGAAGGATTTCTGCTTTAAAATCACCTTTGAATTCATCAAAGAACACGCTTATTTCATTGTCATCTACTTGAATGTTTTTGATTTTCTCTAAAATTCCTGACTGATTCCTGAGGCTTTACTGGTTAGGATGGGAAACACAGAACAATCTTCTCCAGCGCCTCTTTTTTCTACCTTGTGTATCATTCCAAGCTCAAATGTTATCAATATTTTGTTATTATTACTGTTTTTGTTTTGCATTTATCGTGTGAAATCACTTGAAATCACTTGCTTAGCTAACCCTATGTTGATTCTTTTCCGCTAGCACATGATTAATTAATTTTGATACTCATCTCCATGTTCTTTCATCAACATCCAATTTTGTTTTTTTCAATGTTTTTCATATTACTCAGCTTTTAGTCTGAACTAATTATTTTTCACTCTCATTAGTTACAGTTTAGTTATTTGTCACTATTTGGAAACATTTGGATAATGCAAACTCTGCGGTAAACTGATATAAGAATAGAACTTGTGCACTGTGATGGCAGAGTATAATTCCATCATGGGTAAAATTTATTTTGATAAAGTCACACACAGTGTTGTTATACAGTAATATTTACTGATGACCACAGTTCAAGCACAATTTAATACTGCTCATAATCATATCAAGGTACTCAATCACACAAACTTCTAACTTCGTTTATATAATTCCATTATTGTTTTCCACCTCTTGATTTGACGATTGATACCAGTAGTTTCCATATTTCCGGTATGAGTCACTACTATTGCACGTGTTGGGCGCTGACTCTTTCTCTACCTACCTATGTTACTTCTTCGAATTTTAGCCCTCTCCCAGCATGCTTTTGTGTGGTTGTGTGTCAATACATATAATGTGATTGCGGAGATTTTTCTACATTACTCATCTGTCTTCGTGGGATCAATCATTATAAACTTAGCTAAATCCTTATGTTCCGACAATCTCACTACTCCTGATATATTAGTTTGACCTAGGTTGTCGACCTAACTCACAGTCACTGCAGGGTATTTTGTAAATTTTTTTTTGTCTGATTGGGTCAATCGACAGTGTCCTTTAACCCACAGAGTTTGTCCCTGTCTGAGTGAGTTGGTTGGTTTAAATACCACTCTAATTCCTGCTTTATTAAGAATACTACGTAGGGTCTCAGATGTCCCCTCCTTATATGGTATAACTGTAGATGCCTTATATTCTCTCTCATTTATGTTTTCATTATTAGTTTCTCTATTATTTTTATTTTGCTTTCAACCTTTTCTTGTCATCCTAATGAATTTTTTAGGATAGTTATTTAATATCAATACTTCTATCCATTTCACTTCATCATTTAGGTCTTTTCTTGGGCTACTTAGTGCTACTGCTCGGTTTGTTAGACATTTAACTAAGCATACTTTTATAGACAGCGGATGAGATGAATTACTCTTGATGGAATTTTACAGCAAGCTATTTTTTTGAAATTTTCTGCTATATTTAAGAGATGGGGGGTTTTCTCAGTTTTGATTGATACAGTCATGCAAGTTTGACTGCTGGGTTACTGGTTTTTAATGCAATGTTGAGTTTAGACCTTGATCTGTCAGCTGGATCATCACACTGGAGCGTGAGC